GACCCAAGAAAATTTACATTAACAAAGTGAAGGGAGGGGCGGGAAGTGAAAAAACGGACAACTGCATGATGATCATAAATCTTGGCGGGGGGGGGTGTTGGGAATCAAGTTTCAACACTTTCGAGGACAAACATGAGTGAGGCAATCAAAAGGCAAGCAGCTTAACAGTGTGTACCCTCTATTGTAGTCACAGAAAGTAGCTGGCAAAGTCCTGAATACTTACTAGGTGAAGACTAGCATGAAGACAGTAAAGACCATTTTTTTTTTCCTCTTGTTTACATTTTTATATTGACAAAGTTCCTTATGTAGACTTAAACCAGCAAGTGTCATTTTGCTTATATTATTATATTTAGTTTTGATAATTGCACTTTTAAACCATTCCACTTTTTCTGTGTATAAACTGTATTTGTATTGAACATTTCCTAATCCAAATACATGGCTAAACCTTTTCTTTCAACTGGGAAACAAATTCTTAGTTTCTGGATAAGCACAAGAATAAACTAGAGTTGTACTAGATTCTTATGTGATATTTGAGACTGAGACCACAGAATGGTAGGTTTGGAAGGGACTTCTGGAGATAATTTGGTCTGCCAAAGCAGGTTTACCTAGAGCAGGGTGCACAGGATTGTGCCCAGGCAGGTGCCCAGAGGAGACTCTACAACCTCTCTGAGCAGCCTGTTCTAGTGCTCTGTCACCCTTGAAGTAAACAAGAACTATCTGTGTTCCAGTGTGTTCCCATTGTCCCTTGTTGTGTCACTGGATGCCACTGAAAAGAGTCTGGCCCTGTCTTCTTGACTCCCACCCTTTAGATACTGACACTATCCCCTGTTGGTCTTCTCCCAGTTAAACAGACCCAGATCTCTCAGCCTTTCCTCATAGGAGAGAATCCCTTTATCATCTTTGTAGCCCTCTACTGGACTCTCTCCAGTAGTTCTTTATCTTTCTTGAACTGGGGAGCCCAGAATGGGACACAGTACTCCAGATGTGGCCTGAGCAGAGCAGAGGGGGAGGACAACCTTCCTCAACCTGCTGCCCACATTCTTTTTAATGCAGCCCAGGACAGCATTGGCCTTCTTGGGCTCAAGGGCACATTGCTGGCTTGTAGTCAACTTGTCCACCAGGACTCCCAGGTCCCTCTCTGCAAAGCTGCTTTCCAGCAGGTCAGCCCCTAACCAATACTGGTGCATGGGTTATTCCTCCCTAGGTGCAGGACCTGATGCTTGCCCTTGCTGAACTTCATTAAGTTCCTCTCTGCCCAACTCTTTAGCCTGTCTAGGTCTCACACACAGCCTTCTGGTGTGTCAGCCACTCCTCCCAGTTTTGTGTCATCAGCAAATTTCCTGAGGGTACACTCTGCCCCCTCATCCAAGTCATTGGTGAATGTGTTGAACAAGACTGGACCCAGTACTGACCCCTGGGGAACACTGCTAGCTACAGGCCTCCAACTAGACTGCACCACTGATCAGAACCCTCTGAGCTCTGCCGTTCAGCCAGTTCTCAATCCACCTCACTATCTGCTCATCTGACCCACGCTTCCTAAGCTTACCTATGAGTATGTTGTGGGAGACAGTGTCAAAAGCCATGCTGAAGTTGAGGTAGACAATGTCCACTGCTCTCCCTTCACCTCCCCAGCCAGTCATGCCATCCTAGAAGGCTGTCAGATTGGTCAAGCATGATTACCCCCTGATGAATCCATGTTGACCGCTCCCAATGACTTTCTTTTCCTATGCATGCTTAGAGATGACATCCAGAATGAGCTTTTCCATCACCTTTCCGGGGATGGGGGTAAGGCTGACTGGCCTGTAGTGTCCTGCATCCTCCCTCTTGCCCTTTTTGAAGACTGGAGTGACATTGGCTTTCCTCCAGTCCTCAGGCACCTCTCCTGTTCTCTATGACCTTTCAAAAATGACGGAGAGCGGCTTCACAATAACATCTGCCAGCTTCATCAGCACTCGGGGGGCATCCCACTGGAGCCCATAGATTTGTAGGTATTGAGTTTGCCTAAATGATCTCAAACTGGTTCCTCCTCAACCAAGGGAAAGTCTTCCCTTCTCCACACTTTCTCTTTTACCTTCAGGGCTGGGATTCCTGAGGGCCAGCCTTAGCAGTAAAGACTGAAACAAAGAAGGCATTCAGTAACTCCGCCTTCTCTGCATCCTCCATCATCAGGGCACCCAACTCATTCAGCAGCGGGCCCACATTTTCCCTAGTCCTCCTTGTACTACTGATGTACTTGAAGAAGCCCTTCTTACTGTCCTTGACATCCCTTGCCAGGTTTAATTCCAAGCGGTTCAAAGCTGCATGAGGGGAGTTTTAGACTTGACATTAGGAAGCATTTCTTTACTGGTAGGGTGGTCAAACTCTGGACCTGGCTTCATATAGAGGTGGTCGATGCCCCAGACCTGCTAGAGTTTCAGAGGCATTTGGGCAATTCCCTTAATAACATGCATTCACTTTTGATTATCCCTGGTCTGGCAGTTGGACTAGATGATCATTGTAGGTCCCTTCCAACTGAAAGTATTCTGTTCTATTCAGAAATAAATATATTAAAATGCAAGATGCCAGACCACGTGGTAATTAAATTTCAGAGGGCTTTCTGTTGGCTTCCAACTAATACTGTGAATACTTGTAAGTATTTCCTAGGACTTTCTGAAGTGTGTTAACCATATTACACCCTTCCTCTATAGCTTAATAAACTGAGTATGTTAAAACAAAACAGCCTCTAATCATAACACTGCTCTTCCTACCTCGTAATGTATTCTTATGCCAGCTGCTTTGTCATTTAGTTTCTTAGCTTCTTTATTTAGTTTGGTTTGTTAAGTTTTTCAAGAGTGTTTAAGACGACTAATTCAGTGTAAGTTTGCTTTTATTGCTGCAATATAAAATATGCTAAAATAGTTTAGTTTTATGATACATTTCTGGGTAGGAAAAATATAGGATGGTTTCAGTTAATCTTCCGTTAGTTGTGTGCTAGCATGATGCTGTCTCTTGCAGAAGAAATTTGTGGTAAAAAGCTATAAATTTGTAGTCTGTTACATGTCGATCTTTTTATGTAAATATCAGTAAAATATTTCTTTGATTTGTTGAAAAGTAACATAGCATTGGAAAAAATTAATTGGTTATGTGGTCTTAATTCTTTGAGTGAAAGCTTCCATTAAAAAAAACTCTTACTGAAACAGGCAGAGATCACAACAAATTTTGATTAAAAACAGCACAAAAGGAAAATAAATTCAACTTATTCATCGCTTTTCTGTTTTCTGTCTCCATGAAAGTATTGTGTAATATTAAGTTACTGTCAACTTTTTTCTATTAAGCTGTTTCCATGCTTCTGAAGAAAGTATTTTTTAAGTTTAGATTTTAAGTTGTCATATTAACTGTCTTGACAAAATGTATTTTTTCTCTTTAAGATACTTTAGATTAGACCCTACTGTCCTATCTGTACAGAAACTTGTATCAGATGTAAGGATTCTTCTAGATGCTAAACATCTGTTAAAAAAATAGATATTGAGCTAGCACTTTTCCTCTGGAGTGTTACAGGTTTATTTCCGCATTTGCAAATTAAAAAAGGGAGAGTTTTGGAAATTTGTGGTCTTTTTGTTTGTTTCTGACTACTTTATTAAAATTTGACCTTTACAAAGTGACAGTGCAACCTGAAAGTGTTGCAACCAAAGTAAGAGTGTGCCAGTGTCTATTGGTTATTCCTAATTACAAGATTCTTTATTTGAAATATAATTAACAATTTGATGTGAACTGGAAAAGAACGTGCGTATTGTCAAATTACATTAGCTCTGCATTTCTACCTAAGATGAACATCAATGACTTTTTGTCCTTAAAATACAGTATAAAATATCCTTTCTGAGTCAATATTCGGACTCTATTCAGTAATAAAGTGGTTTTCTTTTATTAGACTTAAAAATTATTTTTTTTAATACTGAAATCTTCTGCATTTATATAGCTACCTTGAAACAATGTTATCTCATTCCAGAATAACTCATACATGCCCATATGTGACAAGAGCTGGTATGAAAAGTTGGAATATGCCACTTATGTATTAAGTAGCCAGGCTTATCTGCTTTTTTTTGCAGTTATAGTTGCAGAAAGAACATATCCCTTCCAGGTTCTAGGAAGCAAGATGCATGTACTTTCTCATGCAAAGTTTTAGGCAGAGGTTAAAAAAAGTTCCTTGAAGGCTCTGCACTGTGAGGTCTGAATATGTGGTTAAAGTTAGTTTTTCCTTCAGTCTGCATCTCACTGTTATCTTTTTTAATGAAGGATGCAGCTACAACATGCTTCTTTTCTCAGTCATTGCTAACAAACCCTTCATTCATAAATGATGCTGAACATGGAATGCAGGGCTTACTGCTGCTTTGTTTGCCCCCATTTTATTTTTTTACCCTAAGGGTCTGTGGGATAACATTACTGATCTGTGGGGTGACTCTTCATTTTCTCCTCAAGCTGTAGGTGTAAGATGCTGCTCGTAAGGATTTTCATTCAGTTGTTTTACATAGGGTAATGGAGTTCTTTGACTTGAAAGAAGAGATAAGACATTGAGAGAAGAATTAGGGGGTGCTGGGGTTGTACGTGTTTGGGATAGGGCTTGAGCTGGCAAGATGATCTGTTTGTAGATGCTACAGTCCTCCTGATGTAAGAAAAGAGGAAACCTAGGGGAAATTATCAAGGAAGATCAGTTTGCCAGTATGTACATCTTCCTTTTCAACTATTTAATTTGTGCTTAAAAAAATACACACTTTTTTAAATCTGTGTATTCTGTTGATCAAAGTAGGAAGTCTAATATTCTATATACTTATACATTGAGGAAATAAAACATCTAAACTTTGTAAATAGAAACTCCCAGAGAGTCTAGCACTTTTAACTGTCCACAGCATGTGAAGTTCAGCTTTTTAAGAAAATGCTTTACTTAACTTCTTGTAGGGAGTGGGAAGAGGCAGGTCTTTAAGACTGTTGAAAGCAACTTAAATCTCCTATTTTCTTTTTCTTAGGTTGGCTGAAGACTTTTGATGATTACTTCAGAGATCAGACACAGCATATCTTAAATAATATGGTTATAAAACTGCAAGAAGACAACCGAAGGAAATTTATGTGGTCTGAGGTTTCTTACTTTTCAAAATGGTGGGATGGAATAGATAGCCAAAAAAAGGATGCTGTGAAAAGGTTTGAACACTGAACTATTTCTTATCTTCCATGTGCAATGTTCTGAGACGTTGTGTATTTGACTACACTGTAAGCTTAAGATTTTACTTGTTGCAATGCAGAATTGCTAGAATAATCAACTACTCAACTTCTGCTTTTTTTTTTTGTCCTTGTTTTTTTTTTCCAGTTACAAAGTAAAAATCTGTTTAGAGAAGTGAAGACAAATTACTGAGTTGCTGAAAAAATTGACTAAAAGCTTCCATGTACAACCGTAGAGATGTCATTATAATTGTAATGGAGTTGTGATTATGAACTTTATTTGAAGTCACATTGAAGTATTGGCAATGGAATAAAAATAATTTTTTGTATTAACTATTTATATGTGGTAATTTTTTTCTTCAGTTATGACGCAGTTATGAAATGATAATATGTATGGTTTTTGTAAACATGCAGCTGCTTAAATGGTTCCAGCTTAAATGCTGGAAATCTTGGGAATGACCTAGAAAACTGTCTATTTAAAAATTTACGTACAATGCATGAGTATTATAGTACAACTGTTGTTTTTTGAGATTAAAAAGATCCATTGGAACACAAACAGTAAATGATAGTCACTAGGGAACTGTGTCCTTTCTTGAGGGGAATCAGGTATTGGTTACGCTGCTGCAAGACTTACAGAAACTGCACTGGTGATAATTTTTGCTGTATATTTTTCATTACTTTTATAGGTATTATTTATAATATAACCAAGTTTTGATAAGTTTACTGTATTTCTTTCTTGAATTCATTAAACATTTATATGCTAGTGTACAATATAAGCGCTGAAATTACTTTATTTAACTGTAGGGACCACCTGATGCTGGAAGCATGATCGTTATGTTCACTGACGTCTTCATAGAGAGACTGGATCCTCCTGTGATCTGTTTTAAGAAGCCATTTTAATGAATGAGAGAGTCTGAAGCCTTTATAGATACAATAAACTTCGAAGCCCTATCAGCTCTCTAAAACAGTAAAAAGAACAGTAGATCAAAGATGGGCAGACATTAGTAGTGCTTGAAATGTGCAATGTCTAGGTATCTTGCTCAATTGGCTTTCAGTACTGTGGCATGTACACTTTTATTTTTATAAACTGTGCAGGAAACAGGCTTCTTCCTGATGAAAAAAAAATCAAATATTATGGCACATGCAGTAGAGCTGGTGTTTTTTGTTGCACAGAGGCATTAAAAATTAAACTGTTCATCTACTCAGTGACGGAAGTAGCACAAGCAATTTAGATTTTGGCATCATGTCCCTGGTCAATATCTATTGAGTATTCAGAAATTAATTTTTAAGAGTGTATTTTCATATGCAAGATTCTGAACACAATTTACATTTTTTTCAGGTTAATAAAAGATGGACAGTTTGAAATAGTAACAGGAGGATGGGTCATGCCAGATGAAGCTTCTTCTCATTATTTTGCTGTAATTGACCAACTGATAGAAGGACACCAATGGCTAGAAAAGAACCTTGGTATGTAGCTTGATCTAAAATTTAACAGTGTTAATACAGGAAGTCAGTTTGAAAATGCTATTTTGTGTTAGAAGGCTCTCTTTACTCTGCTTTCCTGAAACATTAAATCAGACCACTTACTGGAAGCTATAGGATTGAGTCTAGTATTTGCAATTACTGTTTGCAGATAGAGGTTCCTGGATGAAGTGTGTTTAAACAATTTTGTGTCATAATATTTTGTTTTGATAACAGAAGATGTGTGTAGTATATTAGCATAATAAAACTTAACACTAGGTCATGCTGAATTGTAGATCATGTCTCTGGTGTCACGAACAGTTTCTGTTTGCCATTTCTGTCTTTTGAAAATCATGACAAAGGCCTTAAAGTGACTTAAATTGATATTCCTTTCATGTGTTTAGATCTATTCTGTGGGCTGTGTATTCATTAGGTTCTCTTATGTAAGGCTTTCAAAAAAGTAAATATGAAATTTAGTAGTAGTGGTTGTAGTAGTAGTCATAAAACCTAAACCCATTGTAATGTTAGAATTATTACATTAAAAAAAAAAAAAGCCAACTCATTCACTTTCTAAACTTTGAGGAATTACTGACTGCAGTAACATTGGCTGAACTGTTTTGGTGGCTTTGAAGGTTTTTTGTGTTCTATAAATAAAGATAATGTTCCATAAGTGGAGAGAACCCGTTTTAGATAGAAAATATTTGTATAGCAGTTTTAATAATAAGTTCACATTACTTCATCCAATTAACTGAAATTAATTTTAAAAACTGTTTCACCATGTTTTTCTTAGATTGAAATTTCAATAAATGCAGCTTACCACAATTAAGGGATGGGGGGAGGGAGGGCTTAATAAAAGGATAATGCATTCCCTACTGATTTTTTGGTAACGCAGTAAAAATATGCCTAAGGAACCATGTTTAAGAATCAGTTAAACAAGAGTTAGATATAGCTTTTTTTATTTGCTAGTATGAAGTTCAGCGAAGAGACAGCATTAATCAACATGATTCTAATGATTGCCAGCCAAATAAGTCAAATGAAAAGTTAGTTCCAAATCCAACAAAGGTTAATGTTATTTAAATTACATTCAAAATTCAACAGGCTACATCAGTCTGTCTCCGTGCATTCATTTTCTTTCAGCTTTCCTTTCCAATTGCAACATCTGTAAACTACTTAAAGTGAAAAAGGAGATGCATCTCATTACGATTCCATGTAAAGATGTTTGAAGCACAGTTGAAATACTGTAACAACCTAGAGTACTAATCTGAGTGCTTTTATGTAGTTAGACAATACCTTGCCTCTAAGACATTTGATTTTTTTGTTAATTGTTTATCTGTTTAATTCTAGCTTGTTAATTCCAGGGTGTGTTCTGCAGGAGGATTAATACTCAAATATATATTTTAATTTATCTTCTTGGAAATTTTATCTTTAGTGCTCTGATTTGAATTATATTGGTATAGCTTGCTTTGAGTGAAAAGTAAAACTTTCTTCTCATTTTACTTTTTTCTTTTGTCAACAGGAGTAAAACCAAAGTCTGGTTGGGCAGTTGATCCTTTTGGGCATTCACCAACAATGGCCTACCTTCTGAAACGCACGGGGTTTTCCAATATGCTTATACAGAGAGTTCACTACTCAGTTAAAAAACATTTTGCAACACAGAAGACACTTGAATTTTTTTGGAGACAGAACTGGGGTATGTGTTTTTCCTATATGTCAATTTATTTTGTTAATTTACACAGGTAAAATACAGAAAGAACTTGAATAAATACTATGGAAGTGTTTACAGGATAAGTTGTTTAGAGAAATTAGTCTAAACTTGAAAACTTTAGACTTGCAGTTGTGTTTTAAAAAAAAAGTCATCTAGGTTAAGTTCTGGGGATTTTATATATTTTTTTTTATTAACAGAAAAGGAATGTGAGTACCTGTGTGTTAGGAAAGGAGTTAAAATTAAAAAACTGTATTATTGCCATTCTTCCTCTGATCTTGCTGTTTCTTCACTTTCTTTTGTGCTCTTACTTTCTCTTATTTCCCCTCTCCCACATTGCTTGCGAGCATATATAAAAATGTAAATGGAGTGGAATATTCTTTTTCCTTTGCTCATTTCTTTGTTTTCTTTCTCCTACTCTACTATGTGGAAATAAAGTGGAGGAGGAACATTTCTCTTGGAGAGAAAAAAAAAAAAAAAAGCCAGAAGTGAATATTTGAAGATGGAGAGATCTGTCTTGTTTAGGTTCTTACTAAGGAAAAAACTTTCAAGCTGGTGTGACAAATTAGCGTCATTAGTTACAGTAGCTTTCTGTGAACTTGAAATTTGTAGGTTATCTTTAGTCAGAAAAATAGATTAAAAACATTTCACCATTTTAATTCGCAATTCTCATCTAAAATCTTATTCTTAGAATAAATGTAATTGCTTTTTTGATATTATTTATAGAATATAGAGTATGAAAGTTTTCATCGGTAATGTAGTGATTATACGGTAGCAAACTGATGTGTCTGTAAGTGAATGTACTTTTCTATATGAATATGTTGTTTTGCTTTGAACTGTACCAACATTTCAATAAGCTGTATGATGAATATATGTAGTTGAGGTGTTGGTCTTTCTGTTTTTTAAATAAGCTAATATGTCACTGCTTTATCAATCCAGGGTCAAACAAATGTATCTAGTACTTACTATTGAAACGTGGTAGTGATTTTGAAGCTTTTTGGTTGCTCTGTGTTTTTAATTGGAAGTTGTAAGAAGGAGGGCATTCAGAGAAAGCAATTTGCTACACAAGTAAACTTGACTTGAGGAAAACATGCCACTGTGAAAGAATTTGTCAGATACTGACACTTCCAAGATTTTTCTTTCAATGTTGGTGTATGCCACTCAGTGTACGGAATAGTTAATTGACAGTTTTTTTTCCAAAACAGTTGAATATGTAAGTCGTGTATGGTTCAGTGTTTGGGCTTCAGAAGAAAGCTTTTAAAAACAAATAAGAAATCAAAGATTGCAGCACACTCATCTGGCATAATATGTAGGGGTGGTACCTGAGATAAAGAGAACTCTGTAGTTGAAAAGTAGATGCATATTTTTATGGAATATTACCTTTTTAGTAATGAGTAAGCAGTAGTAAAATAGGAGTTTTTAAACAAAAGATCTGGATTGGAACTGTGAAGGCTTATGCTATTTAAAGTTTTGAAGAATATTTTGACATGTATTGTTGACATACTTAGGAGCCAGTTTCTGGGGCACATCTACAGCATTCATCCCTTTTTTCCAGCATAAAATTACTGTAAGTAATGCTGGAAATAGGTAATCAGAATTTAGGTGTTTCACCAGATGAGTAAACTTAAGGTTCCGCTATATTTTATGAGAACTTCAGGTTCTCTTTAAAGTTAAATTTTGAAAGACCTTCTTTTGATACTTTAGAAAATGTGTGTAGATCTCTGCTCCTGGTGGGTTAAACCTTAGGGAATCGACTGACTAGATGGAAAAGTTAGGATTGCAAAGATGGTCTCAGAAGTGTATAGAATTCTGTGTAATTCTATGTACAAGCACACAGAATCTATCTTCAATTGCGTAGAATCATACTGTTAATGTATTGAAGTTATGTGTTCAAGAAACTAAGATACTGCTAAAGCCAACCACTTAAAATGTGCTAATGAGCTAATGACAGCAAGGTGGTTGGCTTTTGGTTTGGGTTTTTTGGTTTTGTGGTTTTGGGGTGGTTTGTTTTTGTTGTTTGGTTTTACTTAGTCAAAATATAGAAGATGTGTTTTTTTCACCTCTAAAATTCTGGAAATAATGAGACTTAAAATATAAAAGATGTATTTTGTTCACCTCTAAAATTCTGGAAATAATGAGACTTATCTGAGTAAAAAAAAACCCTAACATTGGGTTCCTATCTTTTGCAATCAACTGGTGCTTGATTGGAGCATGCCAATCTTGGTTGTATCCCTGTTTTTAGCCTTTTTATGTGTAAGGTACATACAAAAGTAGACTGCAGGTATGGATATTCAAAGCAAGGCATTGTCTTGGTCTGATATTTTTAATACAAGTCTTGGATTAGGAATATGGAACTGATCTAGTTTTGGCAAATCTGAGAGGTTTTATTTTAAAGGTGTGCTCTATGTATTTAATTCCAGATCTGGGATCCAGTACAGATATCCTTTGTCATATGATGCCTTTCTATAGCTATGATATTCCTCATACTTGTGGTCCAGATCCGAAAATCTGCTGCCAGTTTGATTTCAAACGTCTTCCTGGAGGAAGAGTAAGCTGTCCATGGAGAGTTCCACCAGAAGCCATTCATGCTGGAAATGTTCAGCACAGGTACAGTTTTTACATATTCTGCAAGGGACTAACTTTAAAAAAAAAATTGTGCTGATCAAACATGATAGCTAGCATAGCTTGATGAATTTATATAGTTCTTAAAATAAACTTGTCACAGGAAAAGGATACCTATTACTTAACCTAGTGTTTGCTTATAAGTTCAGAACATAACTGACAGTGAAATTTGAAGATTTTTGTTTTTTAGTTGAGATTATTGATCAGGGTGAGTCCCTAATGCTTCATGTGCTGTATGGGCTGAACGAACAGGGACTGTGAACCCGTGACTGCTGTCAAACCTGTCACATAGGACTTGCTATAGCTGCTGCAAAATTTCTTGTGATTCTCAGAGTGGCTACTGCTCCTCTTCCTTTGATGTAGGAAGGGGCAAAACCAACCATGTTAATTGTGTTTTAGCCAAATATTTGGAATTTTTGCGCTAAAAAGCCACGCTTGTGATATTACGGGGTTTTCTTTGTTACTGAAAGGTCTTAAGCTTTCAGTGATAGTTTGAAGGCTTCCAAAAGAAAGGTGAAAAATATTTTTCATGCTGTTACTGACAATGCTGATATACGTCAGTGTTGCCATCTAAGTGCAGTTAGGGTTGCTCTGAATATTGAGAACTACATAATGCATCTTGTGTACAATTCCAGGAACTTTTGATTGTACAAAACCAAAAATTTGAGGGTTTGGGGTTTTTTTTAAGCCGTTACAATGGAGTTGCTGCTGATATGCTATATCTATAATTACAGTGCTAAAAAAAGTTTATCATGACTGATCTCTTTGGTTTTCAAATTTTCATTCAGGTAAGCAGGAAAAACATGTATCAAAATGTATCTAATACTGTCTTGCTGGGGAACCAGAGGGGGAAAACATTGGTGAGGCTTGGTGGGATCTTTTTTTTTTTTCCTCTAGAAGTATTTTTCATCTTCCGCAGATTCTGTCAGGTTCTTTTCTGCTGGTTGTTTCTCACTCCTGTATGAAATAGTGATTTAGGAAGTTATTTGAGAGAAACTTAAGAGGATATACTTGACTTAGGACATGTAATTTTTCTTTGGTATTTTTGCAATTGAAACTCGTTTGCGATGGAGGAAGATCGTGCAGCCCCCTTAAAAACACCTAATAGCCCTACAGTTATGACTACTTTGAGGAAAGTTAAAAGGACATTTTTCCCCTGTACTTGGCACTGTTGAGGCCCCACCTCGAGCACTGTGTTCAGTTTTGGGCCCCTCAATACAAGAAGGACATTGAGGCATTGGAGCGTGTCAAGAGAAGGGCTACAAATCTGGTGAGGGGTCTGGAGGACAGGTCTTATGAGGAACGACTGAGGGAACGGGGGTTGTTTAGCCTGGAGAAGAGGAGGCTGAGGGGAAACCTTATCACCCTCTACAGCTGCCTGAGAGGAGGTTGTAGAGAGGTGGGGGCTGACCTCTTCTCCCTGGTGAAAAGTGATAGGACAAGAGGAAATGGATTCAAGTTGTGTCAGGGGAGGTTTAGATTGGGTATTAGGAAACATTTTTTCACTAAAAGGGTTATTAGACATCGGAATAGGCGGCCCAGGGAGGGGGTGGATTCGCCATCCCTGGAGGTGTTTAAAAAAAGGGTAGATATGGTGCTTGGGGACATGGTTTGGAGGTGGTTTTGTCAGGATAGGTGATGGTTGGACTTGATGATCTTAAAGGTCCCTTCCAACCTTAGCGATTCTATGATTCTATGACTTCTAAAGGAGGGTCTATAGTAAAGTATGTTTCCAACCATAGGCTAGGCTGTGTGTGGAAAATACGAGTTATGCTGGCCTCTTAGCAGGTGGAATTGCGAAGTCTTGTGTTGTGCCAATTGTTCTGTTAGTTGTGCAGTGAGGTAGTCTTTATATGTAAATAGGCAACCTGTTGAAAGTCATGGAAAAATATTGATTCAAGCGTAAATACTTGGTAATCCAAACTATAAATCAAACTATAGGAAGAGAGAGGGAGAAGCCACTAGTTGGGTCTTGTAGTCTCAGCAGAACTATGTAGATCCTTAACTAAAGATGCTGTTGTGCTCCCTTTCTCCCTCCAGAATATGGTCAGACTTTGTGTTTAGTAAATAATTCTATAATCTGAAAAACAAACCCTGACTTACTGGTCGAAAAAGTACGGGTTTCAAATATATTTGACTAGATTCAATTCTTGCATACATGTTTATATAATAAATCTTCAAGAGTATGAGTTGAAGGTAGATTTTGGTAGACCATCTATTAAAAAGACTTCTAGAAACAAAAAGCTCATGGGAATCTGGATTTTGCTGCTATTTTCTCTTTAACATGTTGTCATTTGTATTCCTGTTTTCTTAGGTATGTTACTAGGATATATACTCCCTACTAAAATTATTTTCATAACTTTATTTAGAGAGGATCAGCATCTGAAGTTTTTGATAGTGATTGTGGTTGGGAGGGGGAGGGGGTGGAAATGGACCTTTTCAGTAACCCAGACATCAGACTTGTAACTTTCAATATATTGCGCTTTTTTTTTTTTTTTTAACTCCAAAAGCAGAACAGCAGTGGGTTTAATTTTTCAGGACATCTGCTTAAAGCTTAAGAGGACTGGCTCTAAGAAGGGTGAATAGTGATTGTTAGTAGTGAACTTCCTCCAGATATTTTTTTTTTTTTTTTTTCAAGACTGGAGGTCCTCAAAGATTAATTTATGGGCAGTTTTTCTGTCAAGGACATGAAGATATAAAGCAAAGTATCCAAGGGAATTACCAGAGGGGATGAGAAGAGCTTGCTTATTATTGTAAATAAGGGCTGGAGAGGATTAGGATTGTTATCTAAATATAAAGCAGGTAAACATAATTTAAACTGAAGGTTAGTTTTGGCACAGGAACAAATTGTTGAAGGCTGACCTACTGTTTGAGATGGAGCTTGATAAGCTTGTTGGAGGATTTAATTAGCATAGTATTTGCAACAATAGTAGGTTGAATGAGGTGTCTCAGTTAGGGGAATTGCATCCATTATTTTTTTTTTACAAAATGAGATAACAGAGTTTTGTATGTCTTGCTTAGGGTCACCCTAATGCACAACTTGATATCTAAAAATTGTTCCATCAAATGCTGACCTTTATTCTTCTGTTTTCTAAATTGCCTTTTTTTTTATCCCCATTCAAGGGCTTGGATGATTTTAGATCAATACAGAAAGAAGTCAAAGCTTTTCCGTACTAAAGTTCTGTTGGCTCCACTGGGGGATGATTTCCGCTATGCTGAGAGCTCAGAATGGGATCAGCAGTACCAGAATTATCAGAAGCTATTTGATTATATGAATTCTCGTCCTGAGTGGCATGTTAAGGTAAATACACTTTTTCTGGTTTGTGGAGGAAACAGTATTTCTCAGTATTTTGAGATTCTTTATGTGGTTGTTGTGGGTTTTTTGTTTGTTTGGTTGGTTGGTTTTTTAAACTGTGGAGCTTTATGTATTATTTAACAGCAGATTGATTTGTCTTGGCAGACTACATTTCTTTACCTTTACCACTTTCTCTCCTTCAAAACAAAAATGTTGCTATGAAGAATATGTGTTTGAAAACTATAAATGGTATCCAAATTAGATTATTTTAGAGAACAGCTATTAGGTTTGATTGTTTCTTAGTACTCTTGTTTTCACAGGCTTCAGACATTGTTATTTAAGGTTCACAGGCCTTGTTATTTAAAGGTATTATGTTTTCTTAATAGAAGTTCAAGCAAATTTTATTCCTTTGTTTGGTTGCCCTTGGTTTTATCTCCCCAAACAAACAAGTATTCCTAAGAGGTGCTGTTGCTGGCACATGTTGTTGAATACAATAAAATCTAAGAAATTGAGCTGGCTACAAAAAAAGCGAATATATTAACACTATTAGCAGATGAGATATCACTTTAAATCATTAATTATGTTTCACTTTAAATCATTAATTATGTTTGAGTGTTACAATACACATCCATACATTCTAATATGTAAGCTGAGTACTTTAGAGACTTCTTGTACGATAGGTGTTTTCTGTACTCAGACAACTTTTCATTATCTTTCAGCATGGGAATAAGAAATAGGGGACCACAACCTTGTTTTTTCTTGAGTATCACATGAGAGTGCACTATTGCTGCTTTCACATTTAGGCTTTTTAAACCTGGTCTGGTCTCTTTCATATATTGTTCATGTGTACATCTTTTTTCCCTCACCTTTCTTGAGACCTCCCTCCATTCCTCTAACTGCAGATTTGAGTTGTGCCTGTAGTGTGTTAGTTTTTCCTGATGACTTCTGGACTTTTATTCTGCATAAGAAATATGATCTCTTGGGATCACAGCTTGTCCAAGAGCTGGATTTTGCATCTGTTTCCTATGGGATGTGGGTGACACCATGTGTATGAATGCCTGTGATGTCTTAGTGGAGGGAAATAGACCTGAAGAGTACTTTTAAAAATATTTTCAATTTAAAGCCCATGTTCTAAACCTAAAGCTTGCTGCAATCACCAGTTCTACTCACCTCAACAACAGCATAGTTTCTGTGGTCTCCATTCCTACTAACCTGGGCTGGATGATCTCTTCTCTGGGGCAAAAAATGAAGGCTTTAGCTCTGAGGTCAGTCTTTAAGGACCCCTCCTGTCCTGAGGCATCTGAAAGGTCCTTATCTAAAAGGTTCTGCTCAGCCTGTTGTCAAGGACTCTAGAAGTCTAAGTCATTAGCCCTGGCTTGCCCACCTGGATTAATGCCTTGGGAATCACATCAGCCCCAGCAGCCCTCTTAGAAGTATACAACCCTTTGTCTGATTCTTAATACCCAGGCAAAAAGATATGCAGTCCTCTGATTCAGCCGCTTCGTACATAGTGTACTTTGCTCAGCTGAAGCACTGCTGGCACTGGAGCACATCTCTTTTTTATTTTATTTTTTTTCTTTCTCTCTCTGTGTTTTGAGGGGTTTTTTTTTGCTTGTTTAATGGTTGGGTTTGTTTGTTTTGCTTTGGCTTTTTGTTTGTTTGTTTGTTTGTTTTTAATAAACTGATGTCACTTAGCCTCGGAAACATAAGCTTAGATGGAGAACTTTCATACTCTGCTACGCTTTCCACAGTGGACTGTAACTCAACAGGCAAGTAAGAGATCACACTCAGCTTTCTAAGAACCTAGATTATGTAAAGGAAAAGTTCACATTTCTCCCTTAAGTGCTGAGATGCCTAGGATATTACTACTTACACAAGGGACTCCCTACTCTGCCTTTATGATCTTATGAGAGATTTGCCCTTTCAGACAAATTTGAGATGTTTATCTAGTGGAAAAGTACGTTAGCATTGAGATTCTCGTGATAGCAACTATTGAATGGTCCTGAAAGTATGTGGTAGGTTACTTTAAAGGATATCTATTTTGCTTTCAGGGAGTTTAATTTCCCATTTGGTGATGTCCCTTACATCTATTATGCACACATTAAGCTGAGACTTTTTATATGCCAATAGAAGAGTCTACCAGATTATTTCACTGTTTCTAATCACCTGACATTAGAATGAGTTTTCTTCAACTTTGTTGGTTTCTCTGGAAAGGTTTTCTTCCTCTGGTGTAACCCAGCATACAGAAGAGAGGTCATCTATACCTGATTTTTTTCTTCTGAATTCTGTCTTGTAGGTGTCTATGATAGTAAGGGAAAAGGCCGAGTGTCCTAGAAGTGCTTGATAAGGCAATGATCACTAATATTGGAATCTCTGTGGCAGTATGTCTCTTTCTCTCCTTTACTGCCATTCGAAGTGACAAGTTATCATATTGTATCGACCTAACAAATACTTTGATCTTGTGAATGATTTTGAAGAGTGAAAACTGTTTGGTTTGTTTCTTTTTTTTTAATGTTGAAATAGAATATCTTTGTTGTCACAGTAATAGTCCTCATATTCCAAGTCACTTTTAAAAGACTTTTTACTAAAAGCTTGTTTTCTGATGTTGTAAATTGTAACGTGCTACTTGTGTACTTGTTGTTAAAAATAAAAATTAAAAAAACATAAATACCCCCCCTCCCCAAAGTTACTTAATTTAAATTTGAAGAATTATCACTATAGTTTATTATGAGGATGCTTATTACCAGAAGCAATCTTCTGTGCTATTCCCACTTCCATTAATTGTTTTTCCACTCTCATTCAAAATCCAGTTTGCCGTCTGTGCCCTCTTTAACAATGTTTCTCGGTGCTGGCAACATGACATCAGTCCCTCCTTTTTTGTACCCCATCTTTTGACCTACCCTGTAAAAGGCTGTTACTGCCTTACTTGTCTGAGCGTTTTTAAAAATGACCAGAAGATAATGCTTTTTTTTTTACTCTTCCATGTTACATCTCTAAACACAGTTTCTTTGTGTATAGCTTTTAAAAAAACAGCTTCTGAAAGCAAATGCTAATTTTTTGATCAACAGTCATCTTAGGTTAAGTGTGTTTCAGAGATCTGCAGCACAACAGAGTTAATTTTGAGAAAGTGGTATTAAGGCAACTATGTGCTTGTTGTTTAACACTGTTACTTATTTAGTCCAGACATATACTTACATAATGTTAAGATACTGCTTAGCTTATGTATTAGAGACTTAATCATAAGACACAAAAGAATGCTTTGCTTATTTGTTGACATTTAGCTTGTATTTTAGATACTGATTTATACTTTAAAAAATAAGTATTTCATATTTCATGAATCATAGAATACTTTGGGTTGGAAGGAACCTTTAAAGGTGATCTAGTCCAACTCTCCTGCAATGAGCAGGGACATCTTCAACTACATCAGGTTGCTCAGAGCCCTGTCCAACCTGACCATGAATGTTTCCAAGGATGGAGCACCTGCCACCTCTGGGCAACCTGTTCCACTGTTTCACCACCATCATCATAAAAAATTTTCTTCCTTGTCTAGTCTGAATCTAACTTATTTTAGTTTAAAACCATTACCCCTTGTTGTATAACTACAGGGCCCTAATAAAAAGTCTGTCCCCATCTTTGTTGTAAGTCCCCTTTAAGTATTGCAAGGCTGCTATTAAGTCTTCCTGGAGCCTTCTCTTCTCCAGGCTGAACAACCCCAAGTCTGTCAGCCTGTCCTTATAGGAGAGGTGCTCCAGCCCTTTGATCATCTTTGTGGCCCTCCTCTGGACCCGCTCCAACAGGTCCATGTCTGTCTTGTACTGAGTTGAAGTGAAGTTGAAATGCTTTTGGAAGAGCTGTTCAGCTTGTCTGAAAAGTGTGCAGTGAAACTTTAAAGCTCTTTAGGATAAGATTTCTGCTACAGTTCTGCTGGAAGACTGGCATATTTCTGAAATGTATATGAAACCAAGCATATTCATTCTCTGCCTATGTCTAAATAAAGAAAACGCAACTATGTTATAGTAATTTTAATTTTCATTCAGGCCCAGTTTGGAACTTTATCAGATTACTTTGAAGCTCTGCGCAAAGAAAGCAATTTGGGAGAAAAAAGCAGCAATTCATTTTTCCCTGTTTTAAGTGGAGACTTCTTCACCTATGCAGACAGAGATCATCATTACTGGAGTGGATACTTTACATCACGACCCTTCTATAAACGACTGGATAGAGTCCTGGAATCCTACTTACGGTAAATACTGCCATCCAGTAAATTCATAAGATATGTCTTGGCACATGGAAGAGATGAATGTTTAAGTACTCAAAATCTGTTGAACAGGTGGAAGAGTGATTTTGAAATGCACGGTTTAAGTTTAGTTACAATAAGGATAGCCTAAATGGCCCCCAGATGTTATTCTTGTTACAAGTATTAGTTGGTGTATCTGTTTTTTAGTAAATTCAGAGACATATAACGATATTTTTCCCATCCAAACAAATTAAGGTCTTCTAACCTACTACTCAAGTGATCAGCAAGTCCTGCTTCTGTGAAAAATAGCAATAACTTTTTATTTCTGTAACAGGTTTGGGTAGCTGTCAGATCAATCTATCATTGTGGCTATACTGTGAACTCTTTTAGAGAGAAACACAAAGGTGTGAATTTTACAAGGGTTGTTAGAGGCAGTTGAGAGGTAGTCAGGGATATTGTGTGCCCAGTGATCTCAGATTGTAAGGTACTGCTCTGCTGAAAAGTGTTTGCATCTTTAAAGAAAAAATTATGGCTGAATTTTGGTAATGGAGTATGTAAGTGGTTCTCCCTTGTGTAGATAAGACACATTGTATTTTAAGGCTCCAGAAAGAAATCTGGGACAGATGGATATGATGCAAACCCTGGAGATTTCATCTATTGCCAAAACTTGGAGACTCTTTTTCCAAAAGATTGTTCTTCCTGGGATCCTTAAGTCAAAGGACACTATTTGTCTTCTGGAAGGGCACTTTAAAATACACGTCTGTTAGTGCTTCTATATGCTATTCTGACCTTTTTGTGCTAGAGAACAACTTCTCTAATTCTGAGAAGTCCTTCTTTAAGGATTTCTTACAATTTTTTTTTTTTTTTTTTTTGATGTGTTGTAATGGCTGGTGCAGTAGTGGAGAGAGCAAGAAAGATGTGGAAAGTGGTGTTTTGGGAGCATGGAAAGCAGTGTTTTGGAGGGAGATATAAGTACCTTTCAGAACAGAAACCTCCCTATCTAGCAGAATTTTTTTTCCTTCTGCCAAGGAACCAAGTCTTTACTCTGATAAAGTGGAGGCTTCGCAAACTTGGGACACAGGTACGCTCTGATCTGTACTACGTTTTTCTTGTAATAAAGTGGCTTTTTTAGCCTTCTCTCTGCACTCTTAAGAATACAGACTAAGAGGCCTGAGGAAATCAAGAAAATTAGTGAAGAAGAAATGAAAGCAATAGAGTAAGAAATCATAGAATCACAGAATCATAGAATCGCTAAGGTTGGAAGGGATGTTTAAGATCATCAAGTCCAACCATCACCTACCCTGACAAAACCACCTCCAAACGATGTCCCTAAGCACCATATCTACCCTTTTTTTAAACACCTCCAGGGATGGCGAATCCACCACCTCCCTGGGCAGCCTATTCATGTAAGAAGAATGAGGTCAGGGGCCTGAGAATAGAAAGGTTTCAGGGAAGAGGCAAGGTAACATAACTTTGAAGGCACTGTGTTAACCAGCAAGGAGAAAAGTTTCACAAATGGGAAAGCAGGGATGAAAGAAGCCAAAGACTGTCAGGAAGAAGAAGAAAAATAAGACAGCTGAGAGGAATGACAAAAAGCAAGGCTAGGATACCTTTGGCGGAAGAATATAAAAATAATACAGTAAGAAGCAGTTATCAGAGGAGTAACTTCAGTGTTTTAATCAGACTTTTGGAATGTTGAAAGTGTTGTGCTTAACTTATGTACAAAACCAAGAATGTTAGAAGATAACAAAGAGGGCATTTGCAAGGCTAACAGTCATTAGGAAGTTGACAACTGTTCAGAAATAGTTTACAAATAGAGTGTCAATCTTATCACTAAGAATATGATTTTCTTAGAAGCATTTTATTTTTTACTTACTGGATTGGCATTGTAAATACTAATTAGCTCTGTTCTCATTAGCTTGTTTATCATAAGAATCTTTGATTTGCAATGAAAACAGTGCTTTTTAATACTGCTGTTGGAAAAGACAATATATATATAAAGTTGGTGTCCTTATAAATTGAATTTCCCAATTATTTTTCATACTTATGCATAAATTCCTTTCTGAAAATGCACCAAAGATTTAGTTTTCTTTTAGCTTTATCATAGCCTATGGTCTCAAAGTTTTTAAATATGTTTACTTACTGTATTGTCATTTTTCTGTTTTTTATTACTTACATTGCAGAAAACTTAGTATTAATTGCTTTCAAGTTTATTTGTAGCATTTACAACTTTACACTGTTAGAAGATTCCTTCATATAAGAATTTCAATTACCTTTAACTTCTGAGAAAGGTGCCAGTCTTAGGGGTAAAGAATGTCTGGAAGCAAACCAAACCTTCAGTCTTATGAATTAAAACACAGCATGTTTCTAAAAATGTACCTGGGAAGTTTTTCGTCCTTCATTACACTCTGTGAATAACATTTAAGAACAAAATGTATAGATGTGTTCTTGTCTGTTTAATATCAGTTTTTTTGACAGTTTTGCTTTTGAAGACCTGGAGAATCTTCAGGGATGGCATATTAGCAGAATTAGGGGGTTTGTCTTTTATTTCTTTAATTTCTTTAAAGTCAGAGGAAATACATTATGATCATATTTAATTAATAACACCCTCACCCCACCCTTGTAAGTAAATTTTCCATGGTTCTTTTTGGACTAAATTATATATATCTACGTAGTGTGCATATATATGTCTATGTGTATATATGCGAGGGAATAAACCATGAACAGGAGATAAATATGTATGAGTGTGTATTCTTCACCAGGGATGAATGCTTTTAAGTTCCAGCAGTACCAGGATTGAGAACTGCTTCACTGCTACTTGATAGACAGGAAACTGTTCAAACTCGGGACATGTTATCATGGCTGGCCATATAAGCAAGAAAAAGAGTTGGTTGGTTGGGTTTTTCCTGTTTTTAAAAAAGTTTTGGGTTCGTGCATTAAAGAAAGTGATGAAAGTTTAAGGATTTTGTAATGGAGATTGACATCATTGCTGGTTTGAGACATAATTGATTTTTTAATCATAAGTGAGAGATGTATGGATTGATGTAGTTTGAAGGGTGATAAAATCAGTGACCAGAAGTTTGTTTAATGTAATAATGGGAAGATGTGAAGAACAATAGCATAGTTTGGGGCAAGTTAGGAACCCATTCTGTGATTTCATTCTTTACAGATATAAGCAGGGAAAAATCATGGTAAGTCTGCAAAAAAAAAAAATTGCAGTAATGCTGAAGCAGGACAAGAGCCTGTGATACTTCTAACTGTACAGATGGGTAGAAAAGACCATATCTTGAGAGTTCAGAAACTCTTGGAAAAAATATTTATTACTTATGTAGGTTACATATAAAGTGGACCTAAAGGTAACCCATTGTAGACTGAGCAATCAGTGAAGCAAATTTTGGTCTGTTTCTCATCAGGTGGAGATACAGTTGCAGATTACAACAAAGTGGGTAATCTGTGGCAACTACTTCAGGTAATCTGCAGTAGTTTGACATAGAAGTGAGAAAGCTAAGGCTTTATACAGCTTTTATGGAAAGGTATTAGAGAGAGGTAAATTCTTACTTATAAGCTGAAGTGTTCTCTAATATAATGTTTCTTGTGGTTTCACTTCTGAGTGCCTTTCATCTTTGACCATTGAACCATTCTAATGTTTAGAATAATATTGAGACTTGAAAGGAAAAGTCTGCATCTAAGAGACTGATGTACAGAATGGATCTGTAAAACAGAATCAGTTATTTTCCTGAAAGGCAAGGAGTTCCAAATGTTCCTTATAGGCAAAATGGGCTTAAAGTGAAGTTCTAGAAGCAGCATGAACTGAAAATGTATTTACTCTACATGTTCACTTCAATGCTATTTCTTTTGCTTTAAGTTTGTTACCTTGTTTATAAACAATGGAATTCCCTATTTAACAACAACAAAAAAAAATGGGGTGGATTGTGGGGAGGGAAATCTAATCTGTGTTTTGAGGATTAAATTTTTTTGTGTTCTCTACTTCATACCAACAGTTGAGTCAGTATTTAGTGGCTAAGTAAATTTTTTTAAAAAAGATAAAACACTTTCAGACAGGGTTTGTCCACTACATGAATGTGCATCTGATGCTATTTTAACTACAATATACTTCTTTTCATTTCAAGTTAAGCTGTAATAGAACAAAGTAGGAGGAATGCATGGATGTATGAATTTGCTCTAAGCAACATCAAAATCACAACCATTAAGCTTAAGTGCATTAGTAATAAAAAAAGGAATTACAACTTTTGACGCCTTGATTTTGTGTGTCGCTTCTGAGCAGTTATCTTACCTGTACAAGCAAATTCTATTTCTCAAATATTGACGATATGAAAATAAATTGAGCTGTTATATGTGCAATGTACCTTTCAATTTAGTTTGACACCTGCTACTTGCTGTTTTTACGTAATTGTCACCTATGTGATGCATAAAGACAAAGAGATCAAGCTGAATCCAAATGTATTTTTCATGTTAACAATTAATAACAATGCACAGTCTGAAAACCCAAGTTGAGAATGATTTTAAAATTTGTTGTTTTACCTAGATTAAATTGGAACACATTCACTCACTGACAGTTTGGGTAAATGTAAAAGTTAACGTATTTTCCCTTTTTTTAATTTTTTTTTCCTTTACATGCTTAGAAGTTAATTTTACGTTTGTTTCAAAAACATATTATTTTGCTTTTCTTTGCTTTTTATCATATTAACCTGTATCTTCATTTCTTCAAACACATGAGAAACCTTGATTAAGATCAAATAAAGTTTGAAAAGGAATCTGACACTTATCTTACAGACTTACAGAAATAGAACTATAACATTTTAAGATAAGGAGATAAGGAGATAGGAAAAAAACATGTTGTTTACCAGAATTTCTACAGGTGTCTTTGTTAGTCAAGTATTCATAATGACTGGCAATTATAGTTTGAGTTTTGGGGTTTTTGTGTAAAATAGATTTAGATTCTCATAAAACAAGTGAGAACATAATGGTAATATTTTAGTGCTAGGCTTTTGCATAAGAAGTAGGAGAGAAGGACTCTGCATCCTGTTCAGTCTAAGGGTTTTTGAATCTGCTGTTCTCACCATTCAGGTGAATGTATAGCGAGCAGGTGCATGAACTGCCTACGTCTTTAGGAGAATTTAGTTTGCTTAAAGTACCAATCGCAGAATAGATATTATATAGAGTGTACAGATTAACGTATTTCTTTAAGATAATTTTGTTTAATAAGTTGCTTTTTGAAATGGGAATTTTATGTCTTCTGTAAGGCAGGCTGTACCATAAAATGATACAGTTACCGTATCATTTTAAGATCAGATCTGTATACTTCACACATTTTTTAAAATGATATGTTACTTTGTACTGTCATATTTTTATTTTAAAGCTCTGTTTTCCATCACTAGAGCCTTGCAGGAAGCTTACAGCGTAAAACTAGTTGATGATGAAGTGCAGCAGTGATTTTTAACTCTTTGAAGCTAGAACCATTCAAAAAAATTCAAGATTAAGGTTTAAAGAACTCGTGGCACTAGGCATAAGGAAAGATGTGAAAACATCGGTTTATTCTTCAGGTTTTTTGTTTTTTAAACCTACATAAATATTTGATTCTTCTCTGCAATTTCAGGGCAGCTGAAATCCTCTACTCCTTGGCTTTGGTACAGTCCAGTAAATCTGAGAAGCTGAGTGTATTTCCTTCAGCGGATAACTATAAATTGCTGACAGAAGCTAGAAGGAACCTTGGACTCTTTCAGCATCATGATGCTATTACAGGAACATCTAAAGATTGGGTAGTTGTGGATTATGGCACTAGGTAATTTGTTATGAATATATAAACTTAAGTCTTAATTTGCCTTTACTTTTTTAAAATAGAAATATTTATTTCAGAGATAGAGATTGCTAGAGCTAGCAACATATTCAGTACTGAAAGTGTAATGGTGCTCTACAAGAGAAATGAATTTGATTACCTGTGCTCTTCATTTATGAAATATTATTTAATCCTCTGACGTAAGAATTTGATGTCCAAACAAAATTCCTGAAGTTTTAAAAGAAGCTAGGTAGACACAATACCGAGAGCTCTTTAATAACAGGGCTATTATTTTCTGCAGTAGCTATTGCATATAGGAGAACCTTTTATGTCTGCCTGTGCTAAGCAATGATCGAGAGACATGCTAATTTAGGCATACATTCCTTGGAAAATCCCACACACTGTGTAACCTACCTTTCTTCGATGTGGGAAATCTTCATGTTGCCAATCTTATACTTAATTTGTCTGTTGTTGTTTTTTGCTGTTTTTCATGGTTTAACCCCAGCCAGTCGCTAGGACCATGCAACCACTTGTGGAATTCTCCCGCTTCCTCTCTGAGAAGGGTAGGGAGAAAAGGAGGGGAAAGGAAAAGGAAAAAAAAGGTTGTGGGTTTAGATAAAGACAGTTAAATAGAACAATAACAGAATAAAGGAAAGTAACAATAATAATAATTATGGTAAAAGAATATACAAGATAAAGTAATACAACACAAGTCACTCTCACTACCTGGTGAATAGGTTGCCCAGATCATGCCGAGCAGTGATCGCAGATTCCTGCCCTCTGGCCAACCCTCATTTATATATCGAGTATGATGTCTATGGTATGGAATATTCCACTGGCCACTCCATTGTTCTGTCTATGCTGCTTCTCAGCTTCTCTAGGAAGCTGAAAAGTCCTTTAATAGTATAAACATCACCTAGCAACAACTAAAACAGTATGCATTATTGACATTCTTTATACCAAATCTGAAAACACAGCAACCACTGGCAAGAAAATTAGCACTATCCAAGCTGAAACCAGGACACTTATATCTGGTGGGTTGTGGCTTTCTCAGTATTGACAAATTATTCTGCTAGCTACTTTGTGGAATTTTATGTGTGTATGTCTGTGCATGCAGATATATGCTTTAATAATGCATATGTTCAGAAATTGTTACATGTTGCAATGTTAAGTACTAGTAAATTTGATTGAGGTAGATTATGGTAGGTGGTTTGTAGATTGTAGAGCATATCCACTAAATAAGTTATTTTAAATGCCTCTCAAATACTCTTTCTCGGTTTAAGCTACTGCATTCATGACAAGTATTTTTAAATTCCATAAATTTGTTAATTTTTTATCTATTAAAGCATAAGTATAATCAAGGTGTAAGCAATGTGCAATGCATTTGGTTTTGAGAGAGTAAAATAAAGGCTTTTTTCACTTTACAAATAAAATTACACAGCTCTGTATTTAAGAATTTCTAAACCTTGTGTCAGTTGAAGGAATGGAAATAATGGTAAAAATTTAAATTTTTGTGTTTCTGATTGTTTTTCTAATCTTGCTTAAAGGCAATCTTGACTTTGTTACCAGCATTTCAGGCTTGTCTCTGCTGTAGATATTGGAAATCAAACATACAAACCCCAAACTTTCCTAAGATTAGTATTTTTAAAAAATGCTTGGTATTTTGAGGGTATATATTTTGCAGCATAATAGTGAGTTCGAGATGTACCTCATTTTCAGTATGCAAGGTAGGAATATAAAGAAATTTAGAATATATCTGCATTTTGCAGTCTGATCGCCCTTTGTAACTAGCTGTTTTTAATTTCATGCTATGTTGATATTAAAAATTACATTTATTTTTCTGTAACTCATAGTTTGGAGTTCTTTAATATTTTTAAATTTTGATGTTACCAAATTGAGTTAAAACAACTGCAAACTAACTAAGACTTTAAAATTTTTAACAGGCTTTTCCATTCAATAATGAACTTAAAGAAAGTGCTAATTGACTCTGCTCATATTCTTATCCTGAAGGATAAAGGTGCTTATAATTATGACACATCAACTCCATTCCTGAAGATGGTGAGCTATCTTTCTTGATTTTCTCCAAAAATAAAATGTGTACTATATATTTTCAATACAGTTGAGTGGCCTTTGAAAAGTCAGAATGAAATTTGCTGCCAATACCTGCTCAAAATTTGCTACTTATCACTCTTCGTATTAATTGAAGATATTGGAAAGTAAAAAGCGAAAACTTCAGCTGTTAACGCTGAAAAGAACCCACAAATCTGAAGTAAAAGGGCTTATTTTGTTTCACTTCATGAATCACGTAGTAAAACCAGGTGTCCTAATTTTCTTGTGGCATAAATTTGTTTGTGACTTAAGTGATGTGCATATAAGTGAATATAGAACGGTATACAGTCCTGTAATTTGACTTTGCCTTATTACTTAACAAATACAGGAAGAGGAAATTTCCATCCTGAAATAAGCCTAAGCTGAATTTGCAAGACCAGGTGTAGACAAGACCTTGTGCTTTTTTTCCTTAGCTAAATTATTTGAAACAGGAATCTACTGATGATATAGTCAGCAACAAGTACCCAGATATCATTTTGAGAACCATTTTATAGTAAAGAGCACCTTGAAGAAATACATTCGCTAATATTGTTTGCTTTCAAAATTTTTAGTTTCTTCACTTTCTGAACAAAAGGTCTCTGCTGTCATAGCTAGGTAGTCTTAGGAAGTCCACCTGAGTCCATACACCTGGAATAGAGGGTAAATGAGATGCTTTGATTTCATTGTGCATAAACATAGCAGGATTAAGACAATCTTTATTATATGATTACCTTATACTTCTAACTAACATGACAGGTATCCTGCTGGCTTAGATATGCCACATGTGTCGTACTTTGAATTACTCTTCCAGTCACATATATTAAAAAAACAATAAAATTTAAAACAGTTCGTATACATTTTATGACTTTGAAACTAATATAGATGTGCATGCTGCATATATGTGCGTGTGGATGTGTGCTATGTGAGTGTGTGCCACAAATATGTCGTTTTTCTCCTACTTGGAAAGGCTAACAAAAAGAATGTGCATCTTCATAAAGTAAGACTCTTTTGAAGTTGTTCATGGAATTAAGTTTTCACTTCTGCTCTGAATTATATTGGAGGTTGTTATGATGTTAGATTTTGCTAAACTTGCATTGTTCCTGCTTTTTTATGGGTTTTTAATGTTGTTTTTTTAATTAATACTGCTGGATTGTAGAAGTACTAATTGCTGTTTAAATTGTATATTGCCTAGGAGCGTGCTAGGTCAAACCCACTATTATTACTACTGTTAAAGCAGAAATGAAAAAGAAAGTTCTTATTTCAATGCATTTATTATATTGATATAAAACAGAAAAAAAAGGTGATCGCGGAAGTAGATTATGATTTATCTGAATGTTATACAGTAACTGCAGCATATCATAAACCTAATATTCCCACAGTAATTTGGTTACCACAACAAAATGTTTTTAATGTGGGATTTGTAGAATGCTAATAGGAGAACTTCAGGCTATTTATAAAAACCTTTTGCAAACTTTGAGCAAGCAGAAAGTTCAGAGGCACTTGGTCTGAAATAGCTCAGAGATGGGCGTTCAGAATGAATGCTGAGAGAGTTGAGAAAGACAATAGCTGTTTTCGATCTTACAGTCTTCATTTGTCTTTGAGGGGTAAGAAGGAAAAAACCCACATGGTCAAAAGGACAGAGCAAGAGGCTGGAGCAGCATTCCAGTAGGTAGTAGGTACAACACGGGAAAATTGCCCTTGTTGAAGCCAGAAAACTGGAAATTGATAATAAGACAGGATGGAAGGATTCCAGAACGATACTGCTTGCACTGTGTTTCTGCTATTCTTAATTATTAGTTACACACAAAAGCATCGTGGTTTTCTCAGCTCATAACTGAATACTTTGTACATCATGTGTAAGTTTTCCAGACTCTACATTAGTAAACAAACAAAACCTAAATCGCTTGGAAGACAATACACTGAAAAACAGAAGAAACTTAGAGATCCCTGAATGTTCCAACCCATAGGATGAGATTCAACCTATAGAAGTAAAGCTATGCAACAATTGCACCATTCCTGTATATTAGTCTTACTCTTTGAGTGCAGAAAGAAAACTTTCATTTAAGTGGGAAAACATGATTTAGAGGATGTTTTGGAGTACTCTGAGGAACTGGGAGCTTTGCACTTGAGCCCTGGGACGTATTGTATTAAAGAAAAGAGAGAAACTATTGAAAAATAAGAATTCATCAATATTGTGAAACAATTCTTCAAGTAGTTTATATCACATAAAAATCATACACATACCCCAAATTATGTTTTTGAAAATATTCTTTATGTACAATATAAGGTAGCAACAAGATCTCTCAGAAGACTAAACTCTAAATCCTTGTGATAAATATACAGGAGTGTAGGGTTTCAGAGCGTAAATTTATAGCAGGACAAAGATAATAAAAATACATCACAAGTATATGCAAAACTTCAAAGAAGTTGGTGATTGTGATGTCTTGTATGCAAAAAATGAAAACTTGGGGTGACAATTTGGTAATAGTATCTAAAAGACATTTATTGAAAGGAAAGGTTTCTCAACGAATTGGTCAAAGTGAGCCTTTTTCTTTTGTCAGTCTGAAGTACTTAGTTTATAAACTTTTGTGATTCATTGTCCTGTGTAATGTGCTAAAACAGGCTTCTGTTTATGGTATGGCTAGTATGGTTTTGTATTTCATAAAGTTCATATAGTAGACAAAGCTCATATATTACCTATTTAAGTGTATTCAAAACAAATTCAAAGATGTTCTCTTGTAGGATGATGTTCAGTCTTCCCAAGATTCTTTGCCACGCAAGACGGTTATAAAGCTGACATCACAACCAAGGTAAATAATTTATGTATTACTTAGTGTCTGAGATTCTTATAGCAATGTGTGTGTTTTCACTACCTAGTAGGTTTTTATGCCATTTCATTTTTTTTAACTTTCACTCAAAATAAAGGTAAAATTTTCAAAAAAAAAAAAAAAAAAGGTAGTCTGGCGTATTATGCTAATACTATTATATTCAGTTGAAAGAGGACAAAGCACTTTAAAACTAAAAATGAAGTTTCTCACATATCACTAATTCAGCTGCAGCAAGTAAAGTAGTCTGTTTACTATATGCTTTTAGAGCATTATAATCCTTAGTAAATTATACTTGAAAGCAGCAATAGAAAATTCTGATTAAATGTAATTACAGCTGGCTCATTTAACACTGTGAGCAAAGCCTTAGGTTTTTATAAGGCCTAAAAATCACAATATATAAACATTCGATTGTCTTTATAATTCAAGTAGAAGATAAACTAGGCCTCTGTTTTGTTTTAACTCCAACTTTCGATTGTATTAAGAGGATTTACTTCTATATATGTAGTTACAGATTATTCAGTTGAAACTGTTATTCTGCTCTCCCCATGAACATTCTGTATCCAATATGAAATAACTTAAACATTCATTAAAAGTTGACTAATCCAAATGAAGTGAATAATACATTATGGATATAAGAACTGCTACATGTGTAAATGAAGTGATTCAAGGTTTTTGCTTATAGAAGAGAAGATTGAAGATTTATTTAAAAAGTAGTGGATGCTATTTTTGCTAATGTTAGTATTTAATTTCTCTAGTTCTAGTAAGTGGCAAACAAATAAAACTTACTCACCTAATTCATGAAGGTGTAAGACTATTCAGCAGACTAACTACTACTGTTCAAAAATTTAAATCAGATTCTTTGAAACAATGAGCGAAGTTTGGTCCTTATGAGCTTTTCAGGGAAGCTGTCTTCAGTCCTCTGAAGTTAAATGTATATAATGTGTGTGCATATGCAGTTTTAATATAAGCTTGTCTCTAGAGCAGTCATGTACACATACATACTATTTTTTCTAAGGTAGGGGTTTATTCTCTTATTGGTGTGCTAGGTAGGTGCTAGCAGATCATCATAGAATCATAGAATGGTTTAGGTTGGAAGGGACCTTAAAGATCATCAAGTTCCAACCCCCCTGCCATGGGCAGGGACACCTTCCACTAGACCGAGTTGTTCAAAGCCCCATCCGACCTAGACTGGAACACCTCCAGGGATGCTGCCTCCACAGCTTCCCTTGGCAACACGTTCCAGTGTCTTACCACCCTAATTGTGATTTTTTTTTTTCCTAATACCTATTTTAAATCTACCTTCTTCCAGTTTAAAGCCATTACCCCTTGTTTGATCACTATATGCCCTTGTAAAAAGTCCCTCTCCAGCCTTCTTGTAGGTGACCTTGAGATACTGGAAGGCTGCTATAAGGTCTCCCTGGAGTTGTCTCTTCTCCAGGCTGAACATCCCCAATTCTCTCAGCCTGTCTTCATAGGAGAGGTGCTCCAGCCCTCAGATCATCTTTGTGGTCCTCCTCTGGACGCTGTCCAACAGGTCCATGTCCTTCTTACGTTGGGGGCTCCAGAGCTGCACACAATATTCCAGGTGGGGTCTCATGAAAGTGGAGTGTCAGAATCACCTCAACTCAAACTGCTGGTCTTGCTTCTTTTCATGCAGCCCGGGATGTGGTTGGCCTTCTGGGCTGTGAGCACACATTGCTGGCTTATGTCCAGCTGTTCATCCACCAGTCCCCCCAAGTCCTTCCATTCAGGGCTGCTCTCCATCCATTCCCCACCCAGCCTGTATTTATATTTGGGATTGCCGCAACCCACATGCAGGACCTTGCACTTGGCCTTGTTGAACTTCATGAGGTTTGCATAGGTCCATCTCTCCAGCCTGTCCAGGTCCGCCTGGATGGCCTCCCTTCCCTCCAGCGCGTCGACCATTCCAGGCAGCTTGGTGTTGTCGGCAAACTTGCTCCATCCCGACATTCATGTCGCCAACAAAGATGTGAAACAGCACCGGTCCCAGTACCGACCCCTGAGGAACACCACTTGTCACTGCTTGCCGCTTGGACATGGAGCCGTTGACCGCAACTCTTTGAGTGTACCGTCCAGCCCGTTTCTTATCCACTGAGTGGTCCATTGGTCAAATCGATGTCTCTCCAATTTAGAGACCAGGATGTCATGTGGAATGGTGTCAAATGCTTTGCACCAGTCCAGGTAGATGACATCTCTTTATCTCCCCTTATCCATTAATGGTGTAATGCCGTCATAGGCGGTCACCAAATTTGTCAGGCATGATTTGCCCTTGATGAAGCCATGTGGGCTGTCACCAATCAACTCCTTATTTTCCATGTGCTTAGCAGAGCTTCCAGGAGGATCTGCTCCATGATCTTGCTGGGCACAGAGGTGAGACTGACTGGCCTGTAGTTCCCCAGGTATTCTTTTTTCCCCTTTTTAAAAATGGGGTTTATGTTTCCCCTTTTCCAGTCAGTTATCTTAAGCTTGTCCATAATAGTCAAAAACTCAGGTGCCTAGCTATTTATTTAACTAAAATCTTTCAACTTTTTCAAAATACTCCCTCAGATATCCTCAGTGGGGGAGGATTTTATATATTGTACATAAACACTTGGCTGGAGGCAAGTTATAATGTAGACTTTCTTTTCCATTTGAGGATAGCTTTAATATTTTTGCTTTCCTTGCCTACGTTAGCTGTTGAAATTTCCCCCATGCCCCTTCCATCCCCTGATATGCCTTTAGTTTGCGTATGCTGTTCTACTTATCTGTCTGCATATTATGCTATGTAAGTTTTTCCCTTTTTGGTGTTTATGCATTTCAGGCGTTTACAGGTGGGTTGGTTTTTCCCTCTTAGTTGTTGTGCATTAAGTAGATACACATGTCACGATTTTTTTATTTTAAAACTAATACTATCCTAGCAGCCTTTTGCTGCTGTTCTCTAAACTTGCCTTAACTTACTAAGAAGATAACATTGGTAGATAATTGATAATTTTAACTTATCTGATATTGTGAAGATACCATACAGTCATATAAGATGCAGTTCATGTTCTAAAGACTGTGTAATCAGAATTATGGGAGATAGACTAAAGAGGAAAAAATGTCAGGGAGAAGTGGAAGAGAAAGATTACAAGGGACTATTGATACTGCTTCCTGAAAACTTGGGGTTTTTTTGTAATGACTTCCGGTTTGGAAACACTTTCAAAGCAATGCTTAAGTGAACACTACTTCATGTTTCCTTCCGTGTTCAAATTTTCATAAGTATCTGTATGTTCAATTATTTTCTCTTATAAGAATGAGCTTAGTATTTCTAGGCTTTTAATTTCATCTCCGGTTGTAGTTTAAACTCCAGTAACACTATTATCACTGTGAAAAGTGGTATGGAAACTGAGACAGTAATTTTTGCTTAAATCTGGTATGTGAATATTATGACTGTGCATCTGAGTTTTCTAGGTAACCAGTAAATATGCAAAATGTTAATTTCAGTAGAATCTTAAACTCAACTTGATAGATTTATCATTAAGGATTACGGTGCTTAAACTCCAGAGTTTGAAGCTTCTAAGACAGAAATTATTTTTTATTTAAAATTTTGAGGCATCAGCAGATTGAAAATACTGATTAACTTCAAAACTTTATTACCTGGTTATTCTCTATTCATAATAGTCTTTATTATTCATGTCTAGAGCATGAAATTTCTAGATTTCTTTCTGTTAATGTGTTCTAATATACCATTACATAGGATAAAAGTTAAGTCAATGTAACTGGCAAGGTGTTACTTTTCTAAAGAAAATGGCTGAATGTTTAGCTTTTTGTAGTTTTGCATTTCCATGTCAAGATTTTTAAAAATAGCTATGTTGTAAATTGATTATCCTTATAAAAGTTTGGTTCACACCACCTATAGATTTAGAGGAACACTACTGATGGGAAGGTTATAAGATAATGTGTTTGGTTTCTTTTCATCTGATTACTTACACAAACATTTTCCTATTTGTCACTTATTTTACTGAGTTGATCCTGAATCTGGTATGCTTTTTCTTCTCATCCAGCCTTCCTTTTTGATGTTTTTCAGTTGTTCTCTTCACTGCTCGTGAAAGTTGTAGTCAGTTGGTATTGTTCCTCCTCTCCCACGCATCTCTTCTCTGTAGTGCTCTGTTGCCATCTTGTTATGAATCCGTAGCTTTGTAAAAAAAATTAATGTGCTAATTTCAATGAAATGGGTATGTAGAGCATTTTAAATCTCACTGTGACTCTGCCACCTTAGAACAACTAAGTGGTCTTATGATTAGGCTTTTGAGTACTGAAGTTATGGCGTATTTAATTACACTAAACCCTTTTTAACTGATAAATGGAGTTGCATGCTTTTTAAAAAAATGTTACTTCCAGCTGAAAAACAAAGCTTTCACAAGGTAATATCCAACTAGTTTTGTTGTCTTCTGAAATTAACAATTATTACAGCATGTCTTGGAGACAAAGCCCATGATTGTGCTGATAAATTGGATGCTGCATCATGCTTCTGTGAGAGCTCTGTCCTTTGATACAATCATTGTTTCTTGGGAATAGCCTGGCAGAGGTCATAATTCCCAAATGGCAAAAGACTTGCACTCTCTGGACTTGGAGGGGGGTGTGGGTTTGAACTTCGTGCCATCAGTTTAAGCTGTCAGTTGTTGATGAAGGGTATGTCGACAATGTGAGTGGCAAGATTTCCTAGCTATTTCTATCTACAGTGTTTCCTGAAGACAGCATTGCAGGGGAATGTGATACATGATGAAATAACTGAATTGGCTATACCAACTTGGATTTTGTAGTAGTGTTGTTTGGCACAATGTGATGAACCTAGGGGTGAATGAGACACACAACCTTCCCCCCTTTTTTCTTTTTCCACTTCTGAACCTTCATATACCTGGCTGGGGAGTTTCAGTACTGAACTGTATTGCATTCTACAAGCGTTGTGTAAGGCATCCCATCTGAACTGAAGATACTATGAT